AGCCAAGGAGCCTGTGACCTCAGCGCCTCCTCTAGGCCCCAGCCCAGAGTCCCTGCTGTCCATGCTGCACTTTCCTGTACAGAAAGTTTTGCAGCAGGGATTGCTACCACAGCTGTCATGTGTGGTCTCATCTGCGAGGGCCATCAAGGAGATGCCACCAACATGCTTCAGGGGCTGCTGTTGATTCTCCACAGTGCTGGCAACCACATGGGAGAACACACACAGGTCAGGGGAGAGCATGTGGTCACCCAGGTCTGTCTGTCCCACCCACAGGGGGCCTTGCTCCCACCTTGGCCTGGCAGCAATGTAGGAGGAGGCAGCAGGCTCTTGGCTACGTGTCCCCCTGAAGGACAGGCCCATCACGAGCCACATGATCAGCTCTCTGCCCCATCACCCCATCCCCATCTTCAATACCCTTCAACCCAGTCACCGGCACAGCCTCAGCCTCAGAGTGGGGGTTCCCCTTGGAGATGCTCCCAAGCTGTGAGGACCCCACAGAGCCCTGGTCATAGCGACCTGAGCAGCCTGGCTCAGATGCCTTTAACTGACATTCAGCTGCCCAGGACTGAGGACACCAGCAGGGCCAGGAGGACAGAAGGACAGGAGACTTCTCCACCCAGCTGAGCTCAGGGCGCTACCACGCTTCTGACCCTCAGGGTCATCTCTGGGCACCACCATCAGCCACTCCTCCAGCAACAGAGCTGGGTTCTGCTCACAGGCCACAATGTCCAGCAGTTGGAGCAGCAGCAGCATCCCCTCCTGGAGACAGCGAGGAGCCCACAGGGACTCAGAGAGTCTGGGGAAAGAGTGCAGGGATGGGGACCTGAGGAGAGGCAACTGGGCCTGGTGGGTGGGAGCCGGTTGGCAGGGCCTTGGTGAGTGGGCAGGGTCTTATGGGCGGGGCCTGGTGGGTGGGAGCCAGTTGGCAGGGCCATGGTGAGTGGGCAGGGTCTTGTGGGCGGGATCTGGTGGGTGGGAGCTGATTGGCAGGGCCATGGTGAGTGGGCAGGGTCTTGTGTTTCAGCCCAGAAGAGCCTAAGAACTGTGAGGACTAGATGTCATGATGGGCTCCAAGCCATTTGGGTGAGCACAATGGCACACACGTATCATCCCACCACTTTCCAAACTGAGGCAGGAAGACTGCCACAAGTTCAAGACCAGCCTGGGTTACAATGTGAGACCCTGCCTCAAAAAAGAGGGGGATATCCAGGAAAAACATATGAAATCAGAATACATTATGGACCTCAGTGAATAGAAAGTCTCAGTATCGGTTCGTGTGACAACTATCCTGGTGTAAACTATAATAATAGGGCAAGCTGGGTGTGGGCCACATGAGAATTGTATCTTCATAATTCTGTAAATATAGAGCTGCTCTCTCTCTCCTCTCTCTCTCTCTCTCTCTCTCTATATATATATATATATATATATATATATGGTTGCCATGGGAACCAGGGGTTGTCTGGTGGACAGGGTAGAAACAAGAGGCCCCAAGGGAAGCCGAGGAGGCATCCCGGCCTATGTGTCCGCATCCCGGCCTGTACGTCTGGCCGGTGCAGGAGAAATGGGCGGATCACAGAGTCTCCAGTACCCTGGTCCTGCAGGGCCATGCACTGCTATGCTCGAAGGTCTCCTTCTCAGGCCTGGACCCTTACACCTGGAGGATCACAGGGAGATCCGTACCGAGAGGAGCTTGGACTGGACGGCAGCAGGCCTGGCATAAATCACCGCGCTCCTGCACTTGGTCAAGCAATAGGACCCTACGGGACAGTCCTGTGTTGGGGTGCCCATGGCATGACCTGGGGGCCGCAGGCTGCTGTGTGGCCTCTAAGCACATCCTTGCCCTCGGAACTTCAGCCGCCCTTGTCTGTAAAACAAGAATCAAGAGTGTCCCTCACTCAGCCCTGTACAAAGCATTCAGTGAACCTCTCTCACTGCTGGCCCTCAAATTCCACTTACCCCTTTCTTCCCACTGCTTTCAGGTGGCCCCAGCGAGCGCTGCCTGTCTCTTTAAATTATGCAAATAAACTGCGGGTGGTGGTGTGGGTGGTGGTGTGTACACAGAAGGGCGAGATAAAAAGAAACCTCTTCTCTGGCTCAGCCAATCAGTGCCCTAGACTGATGGAGCGGCCGCCCGAATGGCCCAATAGTAGACCCGGGGGACTATGGGCCCGCCCCTGCTTTGCGCCCGCCGCTGTGGGCGGGGCGTTTTCTCGACCACGCCCTGGGGCGGAGCCAACCTAGCCGAGCCGCAGCTGCGGAGGGAGGGCGGGCGGCTTTGGTGTCAGCGCGGTGGCAGGTGCGGGGTGCCAGGCGCTGGGCGCGGAGCGGGAGGTGAGTGCTGCCCGGGCCTCGGTCCCCGCCGCGCTGGACCCACGCCCCCGCCCTGCGCTCCGGCGGCTGCTGCGGGCAGAGGGGCGGTGGGAGAGGATGGGCACGGTGGGAGCGCGGGGGCCGCCGGGCCTCGGCGGGGCAATCGGGGTCCACACCTGAGGCGGGGACCCCTTCCGAAACTAAACCCCCAACGAGAGCGAGAGCGAACGGATGGCTCCGTCGAGAGACCCCGCCCCACTCTCTTTATTCTAAGCCCGGTGCTGATCTAGGTCGGGAATGCAGAACAGTTCCCCACGCCTTTGCAGTCTGCACCCCCGGGGTGGGGGGGGCGAGGGGATACCCTGAGTCTCTCCTCCAGCGCTGCCCTGTAGACCCCAGGGACTGAGACGAGACCCGCTTCCCTTCTCCGTGCAAATCCCCATTCACCCTGGCAGCTGGAGCATCAGGGACCCCCTGCCCCCACTCCATTCCCAGCACCCCCTCAGGATGGGGTGGGCGTCTCTCCACGGAAGCCTCTAGAGGGACCCCGAGGTTGGCATCGTGGGAGGCGGTGACCATGGAATCCACAGCCTGGCAGGGGTGGCCAGGCCCAGAAGGCCAGGAGCCTGTACCAGGGTTCCTCTCGGTGTGGGGGCTCCTGGTGTCTGTTCCCAGCAAGGAAGACACATCCGGGAATTGGGGTCTGGCTGGAGGAGGCCTGCGGCAGGGCTGGCGGGCAGCCCCTCCCAGCACTCCTGTGCCTCTTGCCTGGCTCTAGGCACAGGAGCAGCTTGCGCACCTGCCTCCCAGTGACCTTGGGCTGCGTGGTGCCTCCCTGAGCCCTGGCTCTTCCTGAGAAACTGAGGTCGGGGCTTTAAACCCTGCCTCCAATGATAGAACTCATCCAGCCACCTCCAGCTGGATGCGATTCCCTCCAGTGCTTCAGATGGGGGCTTGGGGTCAAGAGCACCTTGGAGACCCTCACTGGGCCTCGCTGGCCTCTGGGCCTCAGTTTGCTGCGTCGCAAAGTAAATTGATGGTCACTCTACTGGCCATGCTTGAGAAGCTGAGTGTGGCCCGGGGTCTGTCCTGCCCGACCCTAAAGGTCACCCCACTTGGTGCATCCATCAGCACCATGGTGCAGCCACCCCAGTCTCACTGGTGATGCTGCCCTGGGCACACCCTGACCCACATACCATCACCCACGCCAGGGTGAGCCTGGCCTTGGGCGGGGTCCTGTGGGGGAGGTGGTGGGAGGCCCCAGCCAGTGGCTCCCCTGTCTGTGGTGCACGGGGCACAGGGGTGATCTGGGCTGAGAATGCTACGCCTTCAGGTTTGAGGCCACCTCCCCGTGTGTGGCTTTGGCTCTGCTGCCTCCTCTTCTCCCTCTGTGAAATGGGTTGAACCCCTGGGGAAGATCAGAGGACCCTGTGGGAGGAGGTGGCCTTGTAAAGGCAGATGTGATGGTCTAGTATTAACGATAATATTAATGTGTATGGAGGGGTCACCGAGGGCCGGGAGCGGGCTGAGAGGCAACATACAGGGCGCTGAGTGCCCAGCACAGCCGGGGATGCGATCAGGGCTCAATAGGTGTGTGCTGGCGAGGAGCCGGCGAGGAGCGAGGGCACAGGCAGGGCAGGAGCACACTTGCTGAGCTGGAGGCCAGATGCCCACACAGTGGCGGCGCCCTGGGGACCGGGGTATGCACCTCATCCCCCCCCCCAGCACAGGCTGAGGGGAGACACTGCCAGCACACCGTAAGTGGGCACAGCCCTGGCGGCTGGGCCAAGAGGAGGTCAGGACAGAGCTGGTCTTGAAACAGCGTGGCACCCACGAAGGCCAGTGGCCCCAGGTCCTTGAGGCCCACCATGGTCCTGGACCAGGGTGGCCCAAGGTCACCCAGCAAGACATCAGGCACTCTGGAGCCCTGGTCAGCCCTGCCCTGATTCCTGGCCTGGCTTTCTGGTTGATTCAGTTCCTGCCCTGTGCCGTATCTCCCCAAGCTCCAGGTTTTCGGGAACTAGAGCCAGGAGGCAGACTGGGAAGCAGCCGGGACAGGTGCCACAGCTGTGCGACCTTGGGTGAGGCGCTGCTGTCTCTGGGCCTGGGTCCCTGCCAGGCTGGAGATCTGGCTTCCCGCAGAGCCGACTTCTCCTTGGGCAGCAGGAAGCAGAGGGTTCGGACTCAGGCTACTTCCAGGGCCTCAAGGGGGTGTTAACTTCTCAAATCAGAGGTGGCAAAGGGGAAATCTTCTAGTATCCAGTGTGAACACATGCATCTTGCTGTCAATGCTGTTGTAAATTACAATTTTGAATCTTGCTCTTGTGTGGCGCCACCTCTGGCCTCTCCCACCTGGACCTCAGCTCCCACCAAGTGGGTATCCCCAGGCCACCTCAACTGGGTGACTTGCGGAATGTTTGGGCTGGGCTGGACTGGGCTGGGGAGGCTACTGTTGACCGACTCTCCTGGTGATTATTGGCTTGGTAATCACAGCTCTGGTTGGTGCCTTTAGGTACCTCAGTTTACCCACCCGTGTGGCTCCCTGTGTTTCTGGGAGGTCCCAGGGGAGCCAGTCAGGACAGGAGGCAGGTGGCAGTTGGTGGTAGGCGGAGCGGGGTGAGCTTCCTGTCCCCCCCCTCCCCACCCAGGCCTCCCCTGGGCTGACGGAAGCGGCAGGGCCTGTGGCTGCGTCCCAGGGCCTGCTGGGTCCCATGGGGCCCTGGCTCCCACGTGTCCATCCGGTGAGTCTGAATCTGAGCAGGAGACCCTCATGTCCCTTGCCCATCCCTGAGCCGGAGCAGAAAGGAGGCCTCTGTGCCCAGCGGGACATGTGGACAAGTAGCAGGTGTCACTTCCTGGGCTGGGCCATCCCCATGGTGGCTCCAGTCCGGTGGTGGTGCAGGTCAGGAGGCCCAGGGTTCAAAACACAAGCTCACCACAGCCGGGGCAGCCATCAGACTAGATGCAGCTGAATGCCTCTGGGCCTCAGCTTCCCTGTCTGTGAAGGTGGAGTGAGAGCAGGAGGCAGCAGGGCAAGGAGGGTGAAGGGCCTGGGCGGCGGGACAGGAGCAACACCCAAAGGTCTACAGCCCCCTGGGAACCAACTGGGGGGAGGGGGCCAAGGCCACCTGGCAAGATCCCTGGATTTCAGGAAACACTGCCTCAGGGCCTCCTGTGGTCCCCAGAGCCACACAGCTGGCAGCACTTCCTGTGTGCCACCCGCTGTCATCCTAGGGAGGAGGGATGCAGGACTGTGCCTCTCACTCAGTACAAGTTCAGGGGCCCTGAGGGGCCAGCAGGTCTTAAGGGGTCCAGAGAGGCTATGACCCAGGCAGGCCGAGGCCAGAAAGGAAGGACCAATGGGGAGTTGGGGGCTTTCCTCCCTGGAGCAAGGACAAGGAGGAGGAGGAGGAAGTGTACCATGCCAAGCTCCCTCTCCTCAGAGGCTACACGGGAGCGCAAGATTCCCAGGGCTGAGGCATGCCCAGCACTGGGTGGCAACCGGGCCCTTTTGTGAAGCAAGTAATTGTTTGCCTAGTGCAGTTCTGGTTGCGCATTAACCCCATGGCCATGCCAGGGACTTCCCTGGTGTTCGTCCATCTCACAAATCCCATGATAGCCCAGGGCATCTGGGCCTCCCCAGCAGGGCCCCCAGGGTCACCTAGGTCCCTGTCCCTGCCACCACTGAGCCTCTTGGGCCCCCAGATGCGGCTGCGCTGCCCTCGGGCTGTGAATTATAGATGAGGCCAGCAAGCTCAGGTGACAAGCTGGTCTGGGGACCGTGCCAAAGACACCCACCCCCTCCACCTCCATGTGTCCCATGAAGAGGGACCTGGGGTCCCCTGGTGAGACCCCTGCTAGGCATTCTGTCTTACTTTGCAGATGGGGAAACTGAGGCACGGAGCTGGACAGTGACCCAGACACCAGGTAAGCAGTGAGCTGCATGTATAGGGTTCAGAAGGCCCAGGAGTGTTTAGGGACACTGAAGGGACCCTGGCTGACACGTGGCTCCCACAGCCCAGCCTCCATCTCACACCAGACCCCCTTCTTCCTGCAGGAGCCACGCGGCGTGGAGCACGGGGCTCAGGCCTGCCCAGCTGACTCAGGGTGCAAGTCCTCTGTGAGTCGCCGGCTGTGTAACCTTGGCAAGTAGCTCCCCTCCTCAGACTGGGACTCACATTTCCCATCTGTGAAATGGCCCAGTGTCTCCACCTGTGCTGGCCTTCCCATCCTTGTTCACCCTTGCTCACGAACTCTTACACATGCTTCAAAACCTATTTCCCATGCCTCTTCCTCCAATCCGCACTTTCACATCCCCATTCCTCCATTAATTCCATCCTGATCCCATGAGACTCAGGTCATCTGCCCTCCTAGACAAGGGGTTACAGGACCAGGGCCAAATCCCCTCCAGGGCTCTGGCATGCTCCCAACCTCTGGGCTTTCATTCCTCCTTCATCCTCCATCTCTGTCCTCCTCAGGGAGGAGAGCTGGAATTTACCCTCCTGAACCCCGAACTACTCATGACTCAGGCTCAAACTTGCCTCTCTCTTCAGAAAAATCCTGGGCAGGGTCTTCACAGAGGTCTTCAGGATGTCATATTTTGGAGAGCATTTTTGGGTAAGATCTATTCTTATGTTGGTGGGGGCTTTGGGCAGGGGCTTTTATGGAAGTGGGGAGACTGCGTCTTGTGCACAGCCTTCAGGAGGTAGTGGGCCTGCAGCCCGTAGAATTTAAACTGAGGAGAGACAGGCTGGGTTTGAGTCCACACCTCAGCCCTCACAGGCTTTGTACCTTGGGTGAGTGATTCACAGCTTAACACCAGGGAAACTGAGGCCCAGCGCAGGACTCTGACCTGAAAAACACTCAGTGGTGAGCTACAGTTGGGACTCAACCCTGGGGCCAGGCTGAACTGCCAGGACCCGGAGTCAGCCCAGCGGGACTGTGCGCATGCTCCACCCTGCAGAATGGGGGGCTCTCATGGACCCCACCACCCTGCTGCTCCTCCATGTCCAGGCAGTGGGGCCAGAGTTTGGCCTGCGGCTGCCCTCCCTCCCCAGAACTCCATCCCAGCCCCAGAAGAGCAACCCTGGACAGGGACACGGTGCATCCTGACCCCCAGCCCTTCAGGGTCACAGCTGAGCCCGGCCTCAGGAACCCCAGGAAGGAGCCAGGACACCAAGCTGTGCCTGCTGCAGGCTGCTGGGGCTGCTCCTCATTCCCAGGCTGTGTGAAGGATTCCAGGCAGAGAGTGGCCCCAGCAAGTGCCGAGTAGGATGCCCGGTCCGGTTTGAGGAGCAGGGGCTCCTCCTCCCGGGCCAGGCTGGTGGGAGCCGCAGACACCGGAGCAGGACAGCCGCGGGGAATTGGGGAGGACAGCTCAGCCCCCTCCTCACGTGTAAGACCCTGAGCGTGCAGAAGCCTGTTGCTAGGTAACGGGTTGCCACAGCAACAAGTCCCCACTAGCACTCTCTTTTCCTCCCCAGCTGGGGCTCCTCTTATTGCACGGCTTTCTTAAAGGGGCCATACTCGCTGCCACCTGCAGGGATCTGACCTCTCCCCTCCCCCTCAGGCCTCCCACTCCCCAGCTTGGCCTCAGAGTGGCTGTGTGCCCGCACGGAAGGGCTGTCCGTCTCTGAGCCCTGTTGGTCCGCGCGTGGGTATAGGGCTGACCACTGCAGGCTCACAAGTCGCCCCCATGGAGCTCTGACAGCAGCGCCCACGTTCATTCTCACTGGCTTTTCATAGCTCCAGGCGCCTACCTTCATTCTCAGTTCTTTCTAATGGCACGAGGCGCTCAGCTCCCTGCAGAAGATGCGATGAGCCAAGGACAATAGAGTAGAGCCCCCCCAGCTCCCTCCCGCAGGCGCCCTGCTGTCTACCTGAGCGGCTGGGCGCTGGGGTAGGGTGGGTCCTGTGGGGGCCCAAGGACAGGCCACTCTGCGTCTGGGAGCCTCAGTTTCCCCGTCTGGGAAAGGGAGTGACCTTGCCGTCTTGTGGACTCAGGGAGGCCTCTGAGATTGACGCGCCAGAAACGTGGAGCAGTGTGGTATCTCACTGAGGGTCCCAGGGAGGCACTAGGGAGCCATGGCAGTGTGAGCGCGACAGGGCGCGGCCCCTGGGCTGCAGAGACCCCGCTCCCACCGCCCTGGGGCCGGCCTGGCCCTTCTGGCAGGAGACACTGGCCAGAGCCAGCCCACCAAGGGAGGCCGGCCGCTGGGCTCCCGGGTCCGGGAAGCGGGCCAGTGGTTGGCCGAGAGTCAGCCCCACGTGCAGCCCGGGCAGCGGTGCCTGGCGCAGCCTCCCCCACGGGTCCCAGCAGCTGGGCGGGAGCACTGCTGGACTTGGTGCCGAGCCCTCGCAGGGACCCTGGATGCACCTAGGCCAGAGCTCCGCCAGCCCCTTGTCCCCGCGAGCCTGGAGAGCTGGGCTGTCATTCTCCCCGTTGGTCAGAGGACAGAACTGAGGCACAGAGAGGCGATGTCCCTAACCCAAGGTGGCTGGGAGCAGAAGCCACAGGCCTCGGCCCAGGCTGGACTCTGGGGGCAGGAGAGACTGTGACCCGGACCCTGCCCTGGCTGGCAGAGGGGACAGAAAACACGATGGTGATTGGAACAGCTGCGCTGAACTGGTGTGCAGCAGTGGGGAGTCCTGAGCAAGTGGCTTTCAGGCTTGGTTTGATCCAGCAACTGCACTAACCCTGCACGCGGTTCTGATTGTTACCCGCCCAGCAGGAGTCTGAAGCTTATGGTTTCCACTCTGTCGCCAAAGAGATTCTCATTATGGAAAAACGCAGAAAATAGAGGGAAGAAACCAGTGGAGTTAGATCAAAAGAGAAAGACACAGGCAGGAGCAACGTGGGTTCTGCTCAGCTGAGACAAAAATTCTCAGGCTTTTCTCTGATTGGGTCAATGAAATGTCCATAAGCCAATTTCTGAAGCCCAGGGTAATTGCAGCAAGCTGATTGGCTTACTCCTGAACCAATCCCTACAGCCAAGGGAGGACCTTGTAGGTTGACTCCTTTGCCCAACCCTTGTTGCTAGCTGACAGCCCTCTTTTTTTCTCCTGCTCATTTCTACCCCATCTCGGCAGGGAGAGAAAAACCATGGCTTTGAGGTCTTGTACCACAGCGTGAAGCAGGGACCTGTCTCAACCAAGGAGCTGGCTGACTTCATCCGGGAGAGGTGAGGTCCCGCATGCCCCATCCACCATGCAGCCCCGCCCACATCCCCGCAACCTGGCCGCTCAGTACAGCCCCCATTCTCCTCTGGACAGGCACAGTCTTGTCCTGTCCCAGGCCTGGGACTAGGTTCGGATTCCTGGGTGCACTAGGAGCTGGAGAGGCTCAGAGGACCTCTGTCCCCTCTTTTAAACAGTAACCAATGGCTCCAGAAAGTGAAACACCTTACTCATAGTAGCCAATTTTTAAACACTTTGCATACTGATAAATAAAAACATGCACGAAAGAAGAGTCTACATTTCAGAGCATCCTTGTGCAGGCACCAGGAGCAGAGAAAACACCACGGACTATGGAGGGGGGGAGGCAGCCTCTGTGCCTGTGGGCTCTGCTTCCAGCTGGGTACATTCCTGCCCTTAAAAGCATTGAAATTATGAGGCATTAAGCAGGTTTTCTTCTGCAAGTGAATGAGATAAGTCATATAAAGAATTTAACACAGTGCCTACGTTATGTTATGTGCTCAAGACAAGTTTTTGACCTGTAACTGCTACAAATACTCCCTTTAGAGCGCCCTCCTTTGAGACCCACTGCATAGATGTTTGAGGTGGGGAACTGGGCCTGAACCGGGCCTGATAGTGCCCTACCTTGTCCCCAACCCTCGCCCCAGGGCCACCATCGAGGAGACCTACTCAAAGGCAATGGCAAAACTTTCCAAGCTGGCCAGCAACGGGACCCCCATGGGGTGAGTGAAGTGGGGGTCACTAGAGCAACCGGGACTGGCAGGTGGTGCAGCTCGGTGGGGAATGCTCGCTGGTGTGCATGAGGGCAAAGCCAAGGTGAAACAGTGAGGGGCCCTTGGTGGCTCAGGGCCCAGTGAGCGGGGGGCTGCTGGGCCCTGGATGTGACCTGCCTGTCCCCAGGACCTTCGCCCCACTCTGGGAGGTCTTCCGTGTGTCCTCCGACAAGCTAGCGCTGTGCCACCTGGAGCTGACCCGCAAGCTGCAGGACCTCATCAAGGATGTGCTCCGCTATGGGGAGGAACAGCTCAAGACCCACAAGAAGGTATGTGTGGGGGTGCCCGCCAGGGCCGGGACACCAGGGGCTTCTGGGACCCCAAGCCACCTGTGGCCCCATCCCTGGTAGAGCATCTCCGAATCCTGTTCGTGCACAGAACACCGGGCTCAGCATTGTGCAGACCTGGCCCTCCCTCAGGGTCACACGTAGAAGGGGTGGGGGGCTGCAGTTCACAGCGCATGTGCAAAGCCAGCCTCTGTGCAAAAAGCGGGCAGGTTCTTGAGGAGTTGGCCTGCTGTCCAGCATGCGAAATGCAGCCTTCTGCCTGGTTTGGACAGCTAAGACTTGTGTTTGCACTCTTATTTTTGTTTTTTTTTATTGGTTTTTACATTTTTAAAAGGCTAGCAAAACATCAAAAGCAAAATGCTATTTGGAGCCATGTGAGGCCCGTGTGACATGGCGTGCAGGCTCCAGTGAGGGTGAATAAAGTTTTATTGGCACAGGCCCACATTCACGCCCATACCTAGTGCTTGCAGCGGTTCTGGGCCACAGTGCAGAGCCCAGTGTCTGTGATGAGTGGGCCACATTTGCTCACTGTCACTTTCCACAGAAAGCAGTCACTGGTTCCCATGTGTGAGCGCTGATCTCGGCATTTCTACTGGCTCGCAAACCAAGAATCTCAGATCTTGGAGCCTTGGGCTCGGGATGCCACGCACTGGAAGCTTGATGGGTGGAGGCTCAAGAGCTGTGCCAAGAGCTGGGCATGGGGGAGCACTCAGAGGCTGAGACAGGAGGGCCGTTGGGAGTTTGAGACCAGCCTGGGCTACAAAGTGAGCTCAAGTGAGACTCTGTCTCAAAAAGACAACAAAGATGAGGGGGGAGGCTCGCCCTTCTGCACAACACTGCAGAAGCCTTCTGACTTAGTAGGACCCAAAGGCAGAATCGTGAATTGGCAATGCCAGCCCCACCCTGTGTCAAGGTTAGGTGAATCAGCGAGCTTCCACTTTTTTTTTTTTTTTTTTTTTTTTT